ACATGCCAAGTTACTTATGATCTATTAAAAAACCAAATCAATAACCAACATCGCCTCCAATAAATATCATGACATGGTGTCAGAAGTAAAACAGCAACATACAAGACACTGGTAGGTCGACAACAATTCATTATACATACGATTTGTGAAGCGACGAAATACTAATCATGGCGGCCGGATTCACACCACCGATTATGAACTGGCAAACAGGAGCCGATATCACCGACGAATTCGCTCGTTTCAAGCAATACTGTGAGCTGATATTCAAAGGTCCTTATTCAAAGAAAACMGAAACCGAAAAATCCTCATACATTTTATTGTGGATAGGCCGCCAAGGAGTTGATATATACAACAGTTTCACRTGGGTYCGCGACGAAGACAAAAACAAGCCAGACATCATCTGGTCGCAATTTGAAARACACTTAGCACCCAAARCTAACTTTAGGTTAGCTAGATTTCAGCTACAACACATGAAACAGAATGACGACGAGAGCACCGATGATTTTATGACAAGGTGTAGAAATCATGCAAATAAATGCAAATTCAGAGATAAACAAGAGATAGACGAGCGACTCATAGAACAATTAATTATAGGAACTAAACACACTAAAGCTCAAGAACGCATAATTGAACACGGCGAAGGTCTTACACTCGACCAAGCAATCGGATATGCTAGAACATATGAAGCAACAATGTCTCATGTAGCACAATTATCAAACACCAACACAACCGATAACGAAAGCGTGCATGCCATAGGAAAGTCAGGAATCGGGCACACAAGGAAATGCGGAAACTGCGGAAAGTTCCACGAATTTCGGAAATGTCCCGCTTATGGTTCTACTTGTAATTATTGTAATAGACTCAACCACTGGAGTAAAATGTGCCGCCAAAAGAACAGATTCCAGCAACGTTCCAATCACAGCACGACGCAAAACAACAAATCCGTAGTTGACAACTATAGCACTACCCAAGACACACGTCACCAACCCAAGCGGGTACATGAAATGAATGCTACTGACTTAAATAGTCCCTTCGAAACATTACACTTTGAGTCGATCAGTGTTGACAACATCAAGGAAAACCCCAGAGATGAAGTTTTTGCMAAACTATGCGTTCAACTGCCAARCATAGGAAATACCAACGCAACTCKGAAAGCCAAAATAGATACGGGAGCACARGCAAACATCCTTCCTATCCGACTATTTAGAGAAATGTTCCCAAATCATGTGAGCCCTGAAGGTGATCCTCTACCCAACGTTCTTAATGCATCTACGACAACACTAACAGCATACGGCGGATCAAAGATAGAACAATTCGGCACATATGACATCGAATGCACATTCAACAGCAAAACGTCAAAAGCACCATTTTACATCACAAATACACAAGGACGTGCTATAATAGGCCTCCCGACAGCCCTAGACCTTAAACTCGTTACACTGAACTGTTCTGTGGAGACACAGAATGAAGCTAAGCGCACTGCGACTGAGCATGATCAGACGAAGTCCAACCCGCATCATATCCGGATCGACAGTAAAGAACAACTATTATCTACATATCCCGATTGCTTCGACGGTGTGGGTAAATTCCAAGGTGATTATCATATCACACTAGACCCAAACATAGCCCCCGTGATCCACCCGCCTAGACGAGTAGCSTTAAGTCTGAAAGACGACATCAAAACAGAGCTTGACGAGATGGTGGAACAGGGAATTATCACCAAAGTACGAGAAGGAGAACCTACCCCATGGGTTAACAGCCTCGTTTATAGACGAAAATCTAACGGTAGAATACGCATATGTCTTGATCCAAAGGACTTAAATGCCGCCATCCAACGTGATCATCACGTAACGCCAACACTGGAGGAGATTCTCCCCAACCTCAGCGGAGCTAAATACTTCTCAATACTAGACRCCAAAAGCRGATATTGGAACGTCGTTCTTGACAAAGAATCAAGCTATCTCACGACATTCAATTCCCCATTTGGCCGATACCGGTTCTTACGCATGCCTTTTGGCCTCCGCATGTCACAAGATGTTTTTCAATCCAAAATTGATCAAACCTTCGAAGGCTGCAGAGGAGTCATAGGAATTGTGGACGACATAGTAGTATACGGCAAATCACCCGAAGAACATGACCTCAACCTACACGGTATGATTCAAAGATGTCAAGAAACCGGCCTAAAACTCAACCCAGACAAATGCCATATAAAGCAAGATAAGATAAAATTCTATGGAATCATCTGCAGTGAAGCTGGCATTCAGCCTGACCCAGCAAAAGTATCGGCACTAAAACAAATGAWACAACCAGAAGACCGCCGAGAACTTCAAACATTCCTCGGATTGGCGACATACATGAGTTCATTTATACCCAACCTTAGCACGCTTACTGCACCATTAAGAGATCAACTAAAAGAAAACAAAGTATTCACATGGAACGCAAGCTACCAAACTGCATTTGAGCAAATAAAGAAYTCGATCACTGAGGCGACCACACTGACATACTTCGACGAAAAGAAGGAAGTGACGCTGCAAGTTGACGCCTCTACCAAGGGCCTTGGAGCTGMATTRCTGCAAGATGKCAAACCAGTCGCTTTTGCAAGCAAGTCATTAACCCAGACCGAAGCAAGATACGCTAATATTGAAAGAGAGTTATTAGCAGTCGTATATGGWTGCGAGCGTTTCCACACATATCTTTTTGGAAGGTCGTTCACAGTACATACCGACCATAAGCCTTTAGAAAGCATTCACCTCAAGCATCTAATATCTGCACCACCCAGACTACAGAGGATGTTACTCAGGCTTCAGCCATATGACCTGAAAATTAAATATATACCAGGCAAGGACATGCTTATAGCAGACGCACTGTCACGTCTCTCACCTGAAGATAAAGACCCAATAGACGGCATGGAGGTTCAAATACACGAGGTCTACCCTCAGTTCAGTAGAAACATGATCGACAAGATTCGTGAAAACACAGTCACCGATCAAGAACTAGCAGTTCTCAAACAAGTTATCTTTGAAGGTTGGCCATCAACCATCAAGGAAGTTCCAAAGATCCTAAAGCCGTACTGGTCATTTAGGGACGAACTTGGAATTGATGACGGCATCCTAACGAAAGGTCAAAGAATAATCATTCCCTCGACGCTACAGGATGAGATTCTAGAGAAGCTACATGCAGCACACCAGGGGACTGAGAAAACGAAACTCAGAGCCAGGACCGCAGTCTACTGGAGAAACCTTAACAGTGACATTGATAAAATCACGCAAACATGCACAACCTGTCAGAAGCACCAGACATCTAATGCAAAACAACCTTTGATACCAACAGAGATACCACCACGACCATGGCACACCATTGGAACTGACTTATTTCACTTACTCGGCTCTGATTATCTTTTAATAGCCGATTATTACTCGAAATACTCATTTGTTAGGAAGATACCTAAGGGACAGAGTAATAGCAGAACCATCATCAACATGATGAAACAGATATTCAGCGAACACGGAATACCGACCACTGTTCGATCGGATAACGGCCCTCATTATGACAGCTTCGCCTTCACAGAATTTGCCAAAGAATATGGATTTCAACATTTAACCAGCTCCCCTCATTATCCTCGAGGAAACGGCTTCATAGAGAGTCAAGTAAAGACAGTCAAGGCTGTCCTCCTGAAAGCTCTCGAAACCCAACAGGATCCCAACATGGCTCTCCTCTGTCTGCGCACCACGCCTATTGACAGCAAGCTTCCATCGCCTTCAGAATTGTTGCTAGGAAGAAAGCTGCAAGACAATCTACCACACTCAATCAGTAGGAGCC